TTGAGGGCACCTCCACAGTTATGCGCAGGGAAGGAGGAATGGGAATTAAAGAGACAGAAGAGAAGAGGTAAGAGAAAAGTAGGGAAGAGCATTCCCACCACATTACGTAGCGTGTGTTCGAAACCGCTGCGATGATCCGCAACCTTCAGGAAAAGCCGCCGGGATGGCCGGGAAAATAAATCACTGAATAAGTAGAGGATGAGCGGAAGAGGCGCATCAAATGATGGGGAAAACACTCGCATGAGCACAGAGCGCAAGCGCGAGAGAGAGAAACAAAAGAAAACCCGAATGGTTCCAGTTCAACGAGAAGCAAAAAAACAATTCAGTTGAACTCGCAGATTGGTGTCATGTTGGAAACAATTGCATGAGCGCGTAGCACAAGCACGAGAGAAAAAAAATGTTCCAGTTAAAAGCACGCCCTTTTTGCAAACAGAGGCTTTGCAACAATTGCAGTGAGCTTTGTGCGCCCCGTAAATACAAAAGAATTGTTCCGACAAAACTCAAAGGCAAGCCAAGACGTACGATTCTCCCCACTGCAAGATAACGGTGTGCGAGAGGTCGTCTACTACCCTCATCTACGCAGGCCGAAGTACGCTTGAGAGATGTAAGCCGCTCCGCGCTCAAGGTGCCTTCTTGCTGATAATGCTAAAAACACGATAGCTCCCCCGCCCCCCACACTCTTTGAGATGGCCGCCAACAGCGGCAAGTGGCAGATATGAATAGCTTACTGTTTGAACATTTAAAGAGGTACCGCTCGGTAAGTCAGTGCTTATCACCCCACATTCACTGACGCGGAAATCAAATTTACGATTCCGCACGCAGGAGTCTCTTTTTTATGGATTTTTCCCCCTTGAGTTTTCATATATAAGATACGTATACATTTACGTTGCATGACATCGACGCCCACATCAACACTGACGCTGGCGGTGAAATCTAGCCGAGAGGGTTCATATATTTGCTATCGCAATAAAAGGCAAGCCGGCTGCCGAAATTCAACACAAGAAAGGGGTACCGTCGTAGATTCAGCACCGCTCTTTTGTGACATAACGTTTTCCAAACACCCTTCCTCAAGCCAACACGTCAGCGTTTTTACACCGCGCCACCAGCAAAGTCAGAAGGCCCCGGAGGCACCACCTTTGTGGATGTAGTTTCACAAGCGAACATGCCACTAACTGTCTATAGTAAGGGTATACCACAATCATCATCCTCAATTCTGGCGTCCTGCACGCCGCAGCTTGCCTCGGGTGGAGAGGCGAAGCATCCTCGAAGGGGCGTAACCCTCCAAAAGTTTGAGCGGTGAGTAGAAGATAGTATGGCTCAAATACAGAAGTCCATTCATGAAAGAGTCAAACAGCTCATTACACGGGCCATTGAAAAATGCGTCCAAACCACCATGGAGCACATCATGCTTTCCAGAGCTCTCTTTCTTGGCCCGACTTTGACGACAATTCTGTTGCATACACCTTCGGTACCATCAAACTCCACTGCTACTCACGCAACACAGCCTCACCATGGCTAGCTTTTCAATATCATCGCCATAAAAACTGTCTTGCAGTGTAATTGCGGAACACTTCATCGCAAGAAATCTGAAATGACCATGGTGCTCTACACTAGAACTAACAACACCAGTCCACTGGTCATTGCCCTTCAAGAAGACAACCGCCCCGTGCTGAAAATATTAGGCTATGACGGCTACGCTCGGACTGAAGAACAAGCTACCTTCACGAAGAAAGCATTGTACGTGTGAAAAGGAACTACACATGTGCTGTTAGATACGCAACAGTGGTGCAGTGCTACTTTTAGTGTCGTCGGTGGCCGGCTAGAAGTCTAACCACAGTGTATAATTATTGTCTTCTGCGTTTAGATGGTTCCTGAAAACACTAAGAATGAAGCCAATAAGGCACCGGTTATCTCAGCTTCATATTGCACTCTAAGAAAATTCATCCACCAGATGTCATTATGTTGCGTGGAGACTTCAACTTTCAGCCCTGTCCCTGTTCATCGCAGCGCGCCTACAGCATTTTCACCTCCATCGAAAGGGCTGCCACCGCAGCCGCGATCCCATCCCGCGACCTGTGGGTCAGCAGCAGAGTAACTAAGCCACTAGATCACCACAGCAAGGCAATGCTCAAATGGCGCACACTGGTTGTTTGAAGTGCCTTCTGCTCGTAATCGATTGCGTTGATTTAGTACTGTCATTCAGGTTTTCTTTAACGCCAAACGTGTCCGTTCATTGGCACATCTTTTTATCATGTTGCGCTGTATGTATTGGTCACCCATGTCAACTTTGCATTACTGTCACATCAGCGGAAAGCTGGTGCCATTATCTCCAGAATTAAAATTTCCATGTAGTGCATGACTTTGTAACTCTTAGCAGTGTGGTCGAAGCACACATGCACTGTGGTCAAAGTCATGAAGCGTCGGGAGCAGTGGTCGTCAGGACAATAAGTGCTTGCTTCATGACATTCAAAAAAAGGTTTAGCAATTCTTTCGGGATTTAGAAAAGGCTGAGATGATTGACAATAAATAATGAAATGTAGAAAGCAAATTTTAGCTAAGGAGTTCAAGAATACTTCTTGGGGCAACATAGGTCATTAACCAAGAAAAAAGAGTGAGTGAGATGGTATGTGATATTTGAACATCTCTTGAAAGCGACGTTGTCTTTTTGGGTGGAAGCAAGAAAAATAATAAATAAAACAGGAACTACAGACAGAAAATCGCCATATTTTGCGCGGCGTGGGGCTTGAGAATGGTTTGAAACACGCGAGTTTGTTGCATACGAATGACCAATTTTGCATTGGCACAGTGCAACCTCTTGACGCCTGTTAAATTTTCCATTATCATATCATGTCATTCTTGATTTTACTGAGTGCAAATTGTTTTTGTTTGAGGCGTTCTATTCGTCCTGCCATTTCCTACGCGTTTGGTTTTTGATTCGTGGCGACGGGTACTCACACGAGAAGACATTTACGTCTACTGAAGTGCGTAGTGAAGCTGGCTTTCTACTGAAGTGCGTAGTGAAGCTGGCTTTGCAAGCTGATCCGCTGCGTCATTGTTAGCTGTGTTGCAGGTCCCGGAACCCAGCATAGCGCAATTTTAGGCTTTGATTTGTAGGCGGGCAAGATGCATTTCAGAAGACTACTATTAGCTGAGTTTTTCTGTATTGTAGCGAAGGACAACGCCGTCACTGCACTGCTATCATGCGGGCATATGATAGAGGCTGGTTCTTTCTCCTTTAAAATGTTCCTTACAGCTAGCAGTATGCCACAGCAATCTGCAGTAAATATTGTGGTATGCTCTTTCATTGTTGCAGATTCAGAGAACGCTGGGCCATGTGCTGCACATGCGACTGCAGAGGATTTATAGGCACCAATGTAGTACTCAGCGCACTTGTACTCTGCCTGCAAGTACACGAAGTGCTGATCTATTGCTACTAGAAGACCATGCTCTCCTACGCCCCCAGTAATTATTGTCCCCCGAAAAAAATGTCTGAACACACTCATGGGCTGACGTAACAACATTAAACGCTTGAAGCACCTTGCAGCCTGCCACACCTCCTTTCTAAAAGTTAAAACTCAGTTTTTCAACATTATATGAATACGTCTATGTGCCCAAGACAGCTAAGTTGCCTTACCTATACTCGGTTCTGGAGCAGCTGATATCCTTCCTGGTGTCCTTTACGGACCAGCTTATGTATAATGTATTCATTATGAAATCCACGACATGATGAATATTGAACTCAGAGAGATAGATACCGTACTGAAACCTCTGCTTAAAACTTCGTGGAAGATATCCTCTCAATATGGACCGGCAATGTTCATGCGCAAACGACCCACCAGCACTTGTGTTTCACCCGCATTTACCTTTGAAGAGTCACTGCAACTTTTTTTGCAAAAGGATGTCTTGAAGGGGCATTTAGTATATGGCATTAAATGAAAACTGCACAGGAATAGGACGGGAAGTGATACACTACACTCCTTCTCGTCCCGTTGCTGATTTGTAACCCATTAGAGGATCTCTTTTCTTTGTTGAATCAGCAATTTTACAATGAATATTGAGTTGTTGATCTTTCCTTAAATAACAGAAGCATCACACAATACGAGCAACATTCAGGTTGTAGGAAAATTAGGTACGGCTTGTAGCGCCAAGAAGGCACAATTCGTAATACTGGTTACTTTATATATCAAAGCGAACATTCACTGTCAATTCCTCGTTCTTCAATTGATATAATTACAAAATTTTTGCAGTCTCTTCAAGGCATTAGCCTGCGAATAGTAATGCCACGCCCCTGTCTCAAATATTCTTATCGCCCCATTACACGTGGAAGTGCTGCCATGCGCATCCACGCTTCTTGACTGAGGAACCGTCGATATATTCATATAACCTTCTAATGCAATTACGCACGCAACCGGAACATTACAGCTTCTTCTGGAATTGACGTGGCAGCTAGCTATAGAGCTCGGATCAATGACTGCACATTAAGAACTGCTGACGCGCCTCGCCGTTTGTCAATTGATCGGCGGTCGACACTATGTTTGTCTCCATCAATGCCAGGATCTCGTTGAGTTTCCTTTTATGTGGCCACGAGCATAGCCCAACAAACAGTTTAACTTGAACGCCCAGTCTGCTCCCTTCATCTGCGTCACTACCTTGTGACAATACTAGCAGGCATTATTGAAGTCAAGGGATATCAGCCACGTGTACACAGGAATGATGGGGTTTTAAGTGACAGTGAGAGAGCCCTAACTTGACAATTCGTCATGCACGTGAAGGAATTGCTGGATTTGTGTGTCATTTACCGTCTATCAATACTATCCGAAAGTTCGTCATCACCTGACAATATAGAAAAAGTATAATTTGCTCTGATGGAACACACGCACCGTTTAAGGCTTTGCTACGGAAATATGTTAATGCACTTGACCACGCAGCTGACGGGTTTCCTTCCTATCCATAGTTAACGTGGGCAAAATGCCAGCGTTCACATTGCCTTTTGAAGCCACTCGGTGCAATTCGTAATTTGATCGACATGCTACTCACCTCGGTCATTTTGTCAATTTTCTTGTTCTACAAAGCTTCGGCTAGCAGTTTGTCGTACCCAGAAGATCGTACCGATCTCCAGCATTACCAAGACTCCAGCCGAGTGAGTGATGTAGATTTCATTTGGTCTCTAATTCAGTTGGCCATTAGGCGAATGAATAAGAATGACGATAATTGTGGGGCACTGTAGGACACGCGGCATTTGAAGTGGGACGACTGAGATGTGGGACCAATGAATCAGAAAGCCTCGAACGGACTACGTCCAAATTCGTACACTGAGCTAGATATAACCCCGTAGTTGACATGTATCTTTTCGACTTTGCGTAATGAACCAAAATACGCTAGACTACGGTCCTATTCACAACACTTTGGCGTCAGTTAAGCATTAAGATGCATCAAGAAGAAAGCAAGATGATATGGACAACTTGTTTCTTGAAAAAAAAAGTATCTCATTCTGCGCATTGTCGAAGTCAATTTCATGGGAACCAGTGACTGAGTGAGGCATCCGCCTAATTATTATTGCTTAGATTTTTTATTGCTTTGAGAAACTAAGCGGGCTTTACGTGCATGTTGACTACACTAGCATCCATAGAATGACTCATTATATAATTTTAATATAGCGTTTGTGTGCTAGGAGGGAGCGGAGAACAGGATAGCACAACCATTCCAAAAAATTTCGTTGCGGATAGTTTGTTTTAGTACAGCCGGATGGCAATTACATGCTCAAGCTGTTACTGCGGTGTTACCATACAGTTGATGAAAGCGCATCAAAAAGTGAACAGAAAAAAATGACTGAAAGCTTGATTTACACAAAGGTTTTAGGATTTTATGCAGCAGTATTATTCTTTTTGTAGAAATAATAAATCCAACAAAACAAAAACCACGCTCTAAAAAAACAGTTACTTATTACAAATGCCCGGCTGTCGTCCTGCTAGGTCTAGGAACATTCACAATTTAGAGTAATCTCCAGAACGCAGCATTATTGCCTGTAATACGAGGTCGTCAAAGCCGCCTACGTGCAGGCGAAGGCGAAGCGAATCGTTCAGTCGTGACGCCAACTTCGGTTCGGAACGCACGTCGAAAACCACCCCAATGTTTGACGTGCACTGCGTCAATTATACAAACGCCGCCGTAACGCTAAATGCGCCTAAGAGAGTTTTTTTCTTTAGCTTGTACATACAGTTCTTTGCGTTGCCGTATACCGGAAGGAGTGCGCACATGAGGGGGGGGGGAGGCTTTCCAGAACGCAGACTTATGGAACGTAAACTAGCCTCCGTATAAGCTTTATAGTCGCTCCCTTATTTTGCAAACCAATCTACGTTCGTGCGGACTCACTAGATTTGGAATGTGGAGACTCTAGCTGTCGAGAGAGAATAAGCGGATGAGTGAGTGCCAACATTGATGAGATTGTTTTAGTCAGATTATCAAGGCTGGAGGTTCTAGAACTCCAACAAAGTAAACGTGTGAGGCCTAAGGACCTCGACAGCAGACTAACATGCTGAATAGGAGGTGCCGTCTAGTGGAACAAAGAGAAACCAAGCAGACAGAAGTTGTTATTTGTAGTTATAGTTCTAGACAGAAGTTGTTATCGTATATTCTACCCGGCGCCTCCCGAACTTTTATTTTTTATTCAGTTTATACTTGAAAAACATCGGGTGATAGCAAATATGTCCTTTAGTAATTGTTGTACAAAGTGTCACAAGATGTTGGCACCATCTTTTGGCAACCTTGTATTTCTTCACCCTTTTGCACATACTAGGATACTTCACAAGGAATAAAAAAATCATTGCCTTAGCTCCGTACAATGATTATCCAGTGAAAGCTGAAATGTCTGACCCCGTTGTTCACCAGTGGGTTCAACACAACACTGTATTGAAGCCTTTCGCAGTTACTAGTTATACTTTTTGTGGTTCTTAATGAGGCTAAGCACACCTTTGGCTTGAGTTTACCACAGTGCCATTTCTCATGCGGCACATTGTGCCTCGCATGATCATGATCATGGCTGGAAACACCCGATCCACACTCGACGTAATATTATTAAATTCCAATGTTTCTATATACACAATCTCTACTGAAGATGGAATATCCGACCAAAAGTCACGGCTTTTGTTCGTTGGTATTGCTTTAAAAGAATCACAGCATATCCACGCAGTGAATGATCATAAGTGGGGCGAAGTGTCTGTCTGTCCATCTGTCTGTCTTTCCGTCTGTCTCGGTTACACCTGACGCAGGACAAGTTAAACTAAGAGATGCTTCACCCCTAAAACATCGGAAGGAGACAGCACTCGTCATTATGGGTTCCTCAAAGGTTCACGACCAGGCCAGTTTCGATTATTTGAAATTCTCATGCTCTAATTTTTTGATAATGTTTCGACCACTTGTAATGAAAAAAACTGCCATACACACTACATCGATATGTTTGTTCCAAGCAACCATGCTAGAAAAAAAGGAGAAGTAACCCTTGTGTCACAGAACGAGTGCTCAAAAAGGGCGCGCCGCCAAATTCTCGCGACGAACCGCCGGAGTGACACCGCGAGGTCAACGAAAAAGAAAAAAAAGAAAACAGACATCCAAGGCTCCCCGGGCGCGCTCTCTCCCCTCGAAAGCGTGGCTTCGCCGACGAACCTCCTCACCCCACATCGGCGCCCGAGCATTTTTCTAGAACGAAAGAGGTGTGGTCATGCCGAGTCGAGTCATCCGACGCGTAGGGCATTCGGACCGTCTCGCCCTCTCCCCAGGCTTCGCTGCGTATCGCGCTGACGAAATGACAAGAACCTTCTGGAATCTCGCGCGGAAGGTATTTAATCGAGCCGCCGGGACGAGAGAGCAGGAGAAGACGGAAGTTGGCGCCAGAGCGTGTAGGGATTCCGCCGTGTAGTCGGTGAAGGTTTTGTCCGTAGAGACAAAGCGGGAGAAGAAGATGATTTCCACTTGAGGGGTGACGACTCGAGATAGAGGCAAGAGTGTATGTTTACCGCTATCGAGCGAAGACGCGTGGCAACAGCTGCATGTGTGAGGGCGACGTGGTTCCGGCGAAGAAGTTTGAAGCTTGGAGAGTGGCCAATTGAAGACGCGAGGTTTCCTGGAAGAGAAACTTCGGCGAGGTTTCCTGGAAGAGAAACTTCGAGGGCGACGGACCGACAACAACGCTGGACTTTGAGTGAGTGATTCTCGGAAGAGTATCATCCAGCTTTTGTTCCAAGAACTTTGGACTGAATAGATTTTCTATCTCTTTAATCTTTAAGGTCTTGGTTCTTCAATGCGTGCGACTGCATTGTAGTGTGTATTGTTGTCTGTGTCCGTTGCTTCGAGAGTGGCTGATTGTACTGTGTAGTACGTTGTTTGATTGGTTTGATTGGTGACATAATGTATGCAACTATTGTGGAGTGTGCATTCTTGTGTATTGTTTTCGATCTGCCATTATTCAGAATATAGTTTGTTTGTTTATCAGCTCTCGGCTCTGACTTGTTCTTTGGGCCACAGCCGGCGTCCGCTGGCGTGCCAAAAAGGACCACTTCTAAATTGTCCACGCTTTCGTGGTGCGGTTCGGGGGGTCGATACTTCGGCCCTTGGAATTAGCCCGGCGATTGCCTCCCGAATTAACGGGACCTGTGTGACAATTAATCTGGCGTCCGCGACAGGACCTTTTGGTGCACAGTGTGTCTAAAGAAGTGAGAAAGAGCCTCGAGTTGTTGATAGTGCTATCGGAACGATTTTGTGTGTTGTTCAGTGTTCTCGTTAACGGGTGCAGGAGAGTGTTCCGATAGACTGATTTAGGCAGATAATTTTTGCACGTGGCAATGTTTCATTTGCGAGACACAATGGATCTCGAAACGTTAGTCGCTCTGGGTGAGAAGATGGGTCTTCCTGGCGTCGAACTACGGAAGTGGGTCACCCAGAAGAAGAAGGAAGAAAACGAGAGGGCCAAAGAAGAAAAGGCAGCTGAGATGGAAAAAGAAAGGTTCGCGGTCGAAAGAGCCAAAGCGGAAAAAGAAGCTGAGTTGGAGCGAGAGAGGCTGGCAGCTGAGAGAGCGAAAGAAGAAAGAGAGGCAAAAGAGCGACAGCTGAAGGAAGAAAGAGAGCAGCAATTGAAGTTGGAGCTGGAGAGAGAAAAGTTGGCAGCTGAAAGGGCGAGAGAAGAAAGAGAAGCAAAAGAGCGACAGCTGAAGGAAGAAAGAGAGGCAAAGGAGCGACAGCTGAAAGAAGAAAGAGAGGAAAGGGAACGGCAGCGGCAGCACGAGATGGAGCTCGAGCGGCTCCGTTTGCAACAGCGAACTGAAACTCCCGTCCAAGCTACAGTTGAAAGCAGCGAACGGGAGGACCACGGCTTCCGCTTGAACCCAAGCAAGCTGCTCGTAGCGTTTGATGAAAGGAAGGACGACCTTGACGCGTACCTTCACCGATTTGAGACGATTGCGAGGAGCCAGAATTGGCCGGAACATCAATGGGCAACTGCTTTGAGTACTTGCTTGAGTGGTGAAGCGCTTAGTGTGTACGGTAGGCTGACGCCGACCGATGCAGCCAACCATGTAAAGGTGAAAGCTGCTTTGCTGAAGCGATTTAGATTTACTGTGGAAGGATTCCGGGACAGATTTCGGACAGGAAAACCAGCTGATGGTGAGACGGCTACGCAGTATGCTGCCCGACTTTGCCACTATTTCGACAGATGGATTGAACTTTCAGGGACAGCGCAGGAGTATGATGAGCTTAGAGAGCTCCTAATTAGAGAACAATTTCTTACTAGTTGCCACCCAAGCCTGTCGCTGTACTTTAAAAAGAGGAGAGCTAAGTCACTTGAAGACATGCTTGAATTGGCTGATCAATTCTTGGAAGCGCAAGGTTGAACTAATTTGGCCAAGGTCAAGAAGGAGTGTCCCGAAGATTCTGAAAATTCGGCACCCGAACAAAAGAAGCGTGCACCGGAGAGCATTCCGCGATGTTTTCTGTGTAACCGAGTGGGTCACCGTGCTAACCACGGCCGAACTAACTTCACGAGCCCCACGCTTGTAAAATGTTTCAAATGTGGTCAGACTGGGCACAAAGCAGACGCATGTCGAAACGGAGCGAGTCAAACTCACCAGGTACCCTGTGTGCAAGCGGCAC